TTCATGTATTCATCAATGCATAAATGATTTTCTTTGTAAGAACTCAAGATAGAACAGCATTGAAAACTTTGCTTTCTTAATACTGCGAGACACCACCCCAGCTGACATTAGGTCATTGACTGTCCAGTTGAATGAAAGACCGGTACGTATAATTTTTGTTACACAAGGCAAACCAAACGTGTCATCTAATCAGGGAGGAGGGTGAAACTGCAGTCTAAGACAACAAACAGCATCTCTGTAGGATGCACTGCAGCCTGCTCTCCTCTCCCAACAACCAAATGTTTATTGCCTTTTCCATGCAATAAAAACTGACTTGTGATGCTTATTTTTCTAGTGTTACAAAAGTAAAAAAAAAGAGAGGCAATTTCTAATGTATGCTGTGACCAACACGACGTAATGCAATGCATTACAGCCGGCCCAAACACCTTATTGGTAACGAGCCGTATTTATCACGACTGCAGGCTTTAGTACTTCAGCTCTGAGCCTCCAACTCCGAGGCTGTTTTCTAGTGGGTTTGATTGCCGCATACTGAAAGGAAAACATAACGCAATCAAAAAACAACCCCCCCCCCCACATAACACCCAAGCTTCAAAAAAGGACCTTGGAGTGAAACTATGTTTCAGTGAGAGGAACGTGAAAACGACTATTTAGAGAAAAGGGGAGTAAAGATAGAAAATTAACTGCACGTTTTTCATAAAAATGCACCAATGCAGGATTAAGCAGCTGCTGCTGCACACAGAGGGAGATGAATCGGGTTATAAGGGCTTACCTGTAATGTAGGATATAACTATTGAGCAGACAATAAATATAGCAAGCATCACTTCCGGCATGTGGTATGCTTAAGTATTGCATGATTTTTGACTTTTATTATATTGCAGTACCTACGGTATTCCAATTATTGCACACCATTCTACAAAAAAAGGTATATGACAAAAGTCACTTAAAAACATACGGCACTAATACCGCAACTAATAAAACAGCTGGAACAAACAGCTAATGTCATGGGTCCGGATACAGCGATAAATAACAAAACACTCGGCAAATGCAGTCACGTTAAGCTGCAGCACCTAAACTAATCTTGAAACAACTCATTTCCCCTTCTTCCTTTAAGAATACTTCACACCTTCTGCCAACACAGACGCTTCTTATCATCAAAATAAAGTCGGTAAACACTCTACACTAAGAAAGTGTCACACAACACTGTTTACATGTTCAAAACTGTTAATCCCCCCCTCAATTGTACTTGGAGGACTTTTATCGAGAAAGAGAGCACAGCTGAGTGTGAGCTACTCACTAGACTTACGTCCCTCAAAGGGCAGACACACGCACAAAGGGTGTGTGTGTCTGCACAGAAATGGAAATCAAAGGCACAGTGAGAACTGCGAGAGCATGGAAATAAACAATGATCCTTTGGGCAGTATAATTTCCACCACTATTAGCCAGCCTTTTCTCAACCAGAGTGAAATTTTTTAATTTGCATGAATGTACCCAATATGCATAAAAAAATGAAATATATTTATATATATAATGCACCATGAAACAAAAACAGAAATGAGGTCTGCCACTCGTAAATCTAATATACACAAAGAAGATAAACAGGAGTTTTGCATACTTTTGGTTGTTATTTTAAAGCAATAATTTGACATTTTAGGAGGAAAACAAAAAAAAACAAAAACATTTTTTGACCAGAGGAGATTAAAATTTTTTTTCATTTACTATGAACAGAGCACCAGCCAGTTAGCAGAGCACAATGGCTGGACACAGGAGAAAAGAGGAAGCCTGGCTCTATCCAAAGATTACAAAACATGACTGCCAGCACTTCAGCTTGCTAATTACCTCATTAAATCTCTTGTTTAATGCTAAGTCTAAATACAACAGTTGGTGGTCTTACAGTGATGGGTTGGCCTATTTGGGAGCTTTGATGGCCAATGACTTCCTGTTGTTTCGACTCATTGTTTTAACATGATTTTTTAGCAATTACGGAAACATGATATGCCATGATGAACTTCAGAGGTGCTGGTTGATTGCTTTAGTTACCCGTGCACAGATCCAGCTTACCTGATTTCCCTTATTAGGTCACACTCTGCAAGCCTGTTTCCCAAAATGCCAAATTGTTCCTTTAAACCTTTGAGTAATCTGTCAGTATATCGTATTCTTCTCATTTGCTGAGCTTTTGTTCTCACTGTGAATCGACCAGGTACTCCAGGATGTAAAAGGAACAGTCACCAGCACATCTTGAACTCATATCCATACTTAATAACAGTGACGACTTGAACGGGGCACTTTGGCACTTGTCATTACCTACTATATCACCGGAGGATATAGCAACTAGCTAATGGAGATTGTATCTGAAATTATATTATTTGGAAACTGTCAAAGTCTGTGTCAAAGTCAGACATACTTGATGTTCTTGATGTGTCCAAAACAACCTATAAAAGTCTGAAAGTTCTCATCATCAAAAGCACACAGAAAACATATGTTTTAGTAAGACAATACACCTAGTAAAGAACTCCCAAGAACTCCATTTACATTCAGTGTGATCCTAAACCTTGAAATGAAAATGTCTGAGATTAAAAAAAACAAACAAGAAGAAGAAGAAGAAAACAAAGAAAACAGGAATGGAGAGCAGATATTATCTGTGATCTCTGTAGTAACATCACACAGATTGTAACAATATTGTTAAGATGCCCTGAAATGCTCATCATTCTGCTCTGTTTTGATTAGCATATTTATCTTCTTTACATGTATCAGTTTCTTATCACACCTATTGTACACAGCTTGATGCTCACGCATGTACACTACCCACTCTGACTAACCCAGGCTTCCACTGAAGAGGCTACATATAGTGAACCACAACACCAAAATGAACCTTTACCCAGTTTATTTGCTTTCTCCGCCGGGTTTCCTTTTTTGTTCTTTAATGCTGTGGTTGCACTTTAAACAAGAAGATACCGAGTTTTTAAAAAAACCCCAAAACAAAGTTCAATTTTCAGTTTTGTTGCAGAGAGCGGAAAAGCCTGAATTTGTGGGAGTAGGTCACATATGTGCGAGAGAAATATAAAATGGATTTTAATATGCTGAACTGTATGTTGTGCTTCCTGTACTCCAACATAAACATATATCATAAACCTTTGAATAGAGCTTCTTTAACATTTACAAGTTATACATTTACCAAATTGGTTTGCTTCTTTTGCTTCCACCAGCTTTGATATTTCAGCAAATGCAAAGGGAGACAACAAGAAGTAAAAGGAAGTTAAGTCATCTTTAACAGAAAAAAATGAAAATAAATAAAATAAGAAACAAGACACAAGTCCTCAAAAACGTTTGTCATAACCAACAATGAACGGAATTTTTCATTTTCTTATTTTCTCTTTTTTACAATACATGTTTGTTTTTTTTAAAAACCCCGCTGGTTAAGGTTATGGTCTCAGGTAGATCTTCCACAGTCAATCTTCACAGTTTGTGTAAAAGCAGAGAAACATTCTCGCTAGAGTAATAAAATATCATGACTATTATTATGGTCATTATTATCTTTTATTCTCGTATTGTTCCATAGAAATGGTGGAGGATAGGGGTGAGGCGTGTCACCCTAATGAAGCGCCTGCAGTCCCAAAGTTCCTGCTCTCCTCCCTGTACAACGCAATGTTTTATTCAGCAGTTGTTCTTTTGTTTTGTTAAAAAAAAATCTTGCCCGCAGGGGAGGAGAACTGTGGGAATGGAGAGTGGGGTAGTCATTCGGTGAAGTGTCTTTATCCTCCTCTATGATCTTAAACTGTTTTCCTGCACAAGACAACCCCCCCCCCAAAACCTCCCCCCCACAAAAACAGAACAAACAAGGAAATAACAAAAAAGGATCCAGAGCCTCACTTTGACCGTTGCCACTCTTTTTTCTTTTTCGTAATCCAAATTGTTTCCAAACCTGTGCTCAGGGTCTGCCAGCACTGCCTGGTTGGCTGCCCTCACATGAAACTGTGCATAGGCATAGGCTTAAGTGCATGCACACACAAAAACGCGCGCTGATACTCGCGGGCGACTGCTCCGTCGGGAGTAAAATCCGGACGCGGCACAACCCCCTCTCTCGATCTTGAACGCGCCTTGCCCTCCCATCAGCACTTGTGGGGCAAAAGAAACATGTAGAAAATAGCCCATCAGAGGAAACATGAACAGAGACTTGTTTGATGTCGATTAACACCCAGGCTCACGATTCGGTTTGTAATCTGAAGGCACTTTGTTTCATGGCAGAAAGTAAAGTGGCTTCTGTTCCACAGGCAGACCGCTGACTGAATATTCGAGTGGGGCCTCGCTAATCGGACCTTCCTCTACTCTCTGCCTGTTTTTCCTCTCCCTCCTCTGCTTTGTCTCCTTCTCACTTTTAAGCTCGAACATCTCTCTGCCTTCCAGTCCACCTGTCTACACCTCTGCTGAGCCTTCTGCTCTTATTGTTCTGCCACCATACCGTCAGTTGGCCACTTGGACTCGTGAGCACAGTGTTAAAAGATACGTAGGCAGCTACAGGGGAGTAAGCAGACAGAACTAAATGTTGTCGGAGTCCTTGTTTTTCTACAGTACAGCACCGAGCAGATAAAGAAATGCCAAAGAATGACACGAGGCTGGGCTAAAGTGAAAAACAAGTGTCGGGGATTGGCATCTGGTGCAAGAAAATGGAGATAAAGATACACAGAGAAAGGTCTAATTGAATGTATTGATAAGCAGGGAAATGTTACTTCATATTCAAAAAGTCAGCAGTGTCTGTATTTCCTTCCGTCGTCAAAGGAAGCTTTCCGGCGCCTCATGAAATGGTTCTTGTGCTTTACAAACTACCCTCCCACGATGCTTGTGATCTCCTCCGCCGGTCCGGGCTCATTCGTCACCGACCTGCCTTTGTGCTCGTAAAGACGTCCAGAGTTCTGCGTCAGCGGGTGTTTTTCTGTAAAAGAGGTCTCTTTAAAAAAAATGTAGCGCATCTTCTTTATTTACTTTTTGTGTAACTTTTTAATCACTTATTTTTTCTCTCTTGCTCATTTAATAACTGCGGCCTTTCTGTGGTCTGCAGTCCATGGGGGGACCCCGCTGCTTTCAGGATGCATGAATCTTTGGTGATTGGATGTTGAGGGTACAGCTCACAGACGGCGGCTCTGAATATTCGCCTCTGAGATGATGGAGAAATGGGTCACCTTTGACCTTCCAGGAGGGTCAGCACCAAGGTGACACATAGCAGCCATATATGGCAGGATGTGGACAGAGCCTTGGCGCTGAGATCTAAATGGGGGGGAAAGAAATAAGCAAACATTTCAATACAAACATGGGAAGATAAGTGGTGAAGGGAATACTGATTTTATTACTCATACTATTTAATATGGCTTTATCCATCTGTAGCATGCTGATTCACTTCAGAAATATGTTGAGTGTGTTGAATACTAAAGCTTTTCCATTTAGCCAAATACAAGACTATGCATACAGAAATATTACTAACTCAGCAGTCATGAAAGAGCTATAACATCATGATTATCCCTGTGGCTTTCACTATCTTTTAATGAGCTTTTAACTAGTAAATAATGGGCTGTTACCAGCAAAGAGCTCTGCTGCTTAAAGCTAATGAGTTGCTCGGTAACCACAACAATTGGTCAGTTCAGCTTAAAGATCTGAAGATTCGGTGTGCAGACGTAAATGCTCTCATCTAACATCTGTGCATGAGGCTGCAGTGCTCAGCATTGTGTTTGTGCGATGTTTTTGTTCTGTTTCTGTTCTGGGCTTTAGGTTAAATGGTGATTTTAAATTCACTACATACAGCTGAGGTCAGAAGTTTAAATACACTCACCATGGGGATGAATGTCATGGTAATTATGGGCTTTTAATGATTTCTTTAAAATGATTAGACAGCATACATCTTTAATTACTGAAAAACAAGAACTGGATGCACAAGTTTTAAATGATTTTGAATTTTCTCTAATCTACACAGGGTCCAAATTATATATACAGGCTCCAACACATACGTAGATGTTACGGTCGCTGACCTCTAGTGGCTCTCCCTCTGTAGAGGAGTTGTTTGTCTCCTTTTCTTGTGTTGCAGGTCTGCCTCATGAGCCGCAGCTGAGGTGTGTTCCAGCTCGTCAGCCACGGCATATAGTCTGCCATCCTAAACTGCCACACCCCCTGCCATTTTCCCCATTTTTGCCAGAGCTGTGAGCTGTGGAGTTTTGGGCAGCGGGCCTTAGTGTGTATGTGTATGTGTGTGAGAACTTACCCTCTGTGAACTTTGGTTTTTCTTTCTTTTATTGTAAGCAAAGGTGTACCCTTATTGTGTTAATTAGTTTGTCATTGTGGAAGCAGGTAGGGGTTCTCTGCCATTTTTGTTTCAACTGTTTTCTCCTGGTTTGCTTAGACAGGGTGAGCTCCCTGTCTAACCATTGTGTTTTGTTTTGGTTAGTGAGTACTTGGTTTTGATTTCTAGCTAAAGGGGGGTGTTTTGTTTATTGTTTTGGCCTTGGAGACCCTGAAGAAAAGAGCTTCCCTGTGTTTGTTTTACTGTAGTAGTTTTAGGCAATAAATCTTGTATACTGACATCTATTTCTCCAGTAGTTCATGTGTTCCCTTTCACTTTGTGTTACCCCTCACTCCAGTCGACACTTCGTTCTTAAGTGGGGCGTAACATAAGTGGGGGCTCGTCCGGGATTTGAAACCGGGACCTCTCGCACGTAACAGTAGACCACCACTTTGGACTAGCAAGTTGCACTTTGACGAGACACTTCATTAGACATCAACAAGCTTCCAGCGTGATTCTGGTTGGATATCTGAGCGTTCTTCTTGGCGGGATTTACAAGATCCTTTTAAATTGTGTGGTTTCCTGGCACAGTCCTGGCTTTTAAGCATAATCTACATTTAAGAAGTTTAATGTTAGCCTGCTTTATCCATTCCAAAACCAATTTTGATATGTGTTTGGGATCATTTGGAGGTAGTTTATTATTTTATCAACTTAGTGCAGTTTCCACTTCATGGCGGGCTTGAGCATTGGTGGTTCCTGGGTTGTTCGTTAACATCCTAACCAATTTCCTATCATCTCAGAATCACACTTTGGGTCTTGTACTTATGTATAATTGTTCAAACTGATTATGCGCAGTTGTTTTGGTAAGGGCCATTAAGCTTCTGAAATAGCCTTTCCAAAACCCCGACCTCAACACTAGTCAAAATTTGAGGACTATGCTTAAAAGCGAGGTCTGTGCCCACAAACCAACTAATTTAAATGAACTCTACTAATTATGCTAAAATAGGTGGTCAAATATCCAAGCAGAATTATACCAGAAGCTTGTTGATGGCTTCTAAAAGTGTTTGGTCGAGGTGCAACGTGGCAAGGGACAAGAAGCCCCAAATTAAAAGCCCCAAATTAAAATTACATTCATGTGTATGTAAACTCCTAACCACAAATGAAGATGACTGTGAGGGATTCAGTACTATCACAGGTGTATCCCATGTCTTTCCTAAAGTAAGCTGGGTGGCTCCAGAACACCCTGCCCACAATAGCTGGATAAATGGTAAAGCTGGATCTCCTGCTGTGCAAGAAAGCAAATATACGTTTTCTCCCATATGTTTGCTACTAACTTCTTTGAACAAATCCTAAAACAGACACAATGTAGCATTTTTCTTTCTGAGCTGGAAAATCAGTCAGAAGTCATCTCTCATCATTCCTCACGACATCTTGCTCAGTTTTCCCCTCTCACATCACGCCGAATCATGTAAGATTCATTGCGTGAGATTGAATTGCATAATTCATAACATTACTCTGTCCTCAGCCCGGGCGACTACTCCTTTACTTCCAAAATGAATTAATGCTGTCGCTTTGAATCATAATGCACCCAAATGAAAAATAACCTATACAATAACAAACTCGCAGCAACAAAAACAATGCATCTTGCGGACCGAGATCACTGTCTCTGATTGCCGTTAGATGGGCAGTTATTTTCCACCACGGACGTGAAAAATGAAAACAGATTATCTTGATTCATTTATGGCATGTTAAAGAGATGTCTAAGTCTGAACGGCTCTTGGAAATAATTCCTGCAGAATAAATAACGGGAATTAAATCAAGGAAACTGTATTTGTCTGCCAACCAATAATGCCCTGTCAATTGCAGGCCATTTTCCGTGTCCTGTTTTCTGTTTTTTACCTTCTGTTTGTTCCAGCAGCGCAATTACAGTACTCCACTCAGCCAGCGCGGCTATCATTCATGTGATTACACACCCTGTTGCCATGGCAACCATGCTTTCCCCATGAGATGGTCGTTTTATGCTGCCAGCTGTCTAAGATTAGATCCTCTCTCATAAATCTGAACCTTGTCCGGTGAGGTAGAGAGAGAGTACCTGGGACTTAGATAAGAGGGACAGAGGAGAGGATGGAGGAGGCGGATGCGTGGTGCTACTCACTGGGCGGCGGGTCTCGACACTCCCCTTCCTCCAGCGTGATATCATCAATAGCAATGTCTCCTTCAATGCCTGGTCCCCGAATCCCTTGAAGTACGACCTACAGAGAGTAGCACAAGTCATTATGTTGAATCTTGAGAGACCAAAAAACCAACAAAAATAAAGAACAGGAAAAAAAGGGAAATTTGAACTGCAGTAAGATAAAGACTGAGTCAGTGCACAGTGTAATTTAGCTAAATTACATCTGGGAAAAAAACCCTTAAAAACACAACAGCAGGTGGCAAGTATTTGCTTATAATGTCACAAAATTTAAAACCAAGACTTTTGGAAGCTGCAACTAAAGTTACCTATTTTACAACTAAAGCTGTAAAAATGATGGAAGTTCTGCAGCTTTCCATCATCCACTCACAAAGTTCAGGCTTCCTGATGGAAATGAGCGTCATACCAGACATTTTGTGGGAATGCCGGCTACTTCTCACAGCTACATCAGTGTTTAGCCCCCAGGGAAACCAATACCACACAAACACAGGCAAAGAAGAAAATAGAGGGCACCGAGGGAAACGCTACTGCATATTGAATGAAAGTTTTTTAGGCTCACCTGGAAAGACGATGTTGGGTGGATGCTTACTTTGGCCTGCTTCCAGCGGTCACCTTGATTGCCACTTAGCGACCACACGAGGCCTTCTGAAGCCGTTTGACCCTTTTGCTTTAGGAATGCATTTAGCGTTCCTGCATTGAGGAGAGAGACAGTTGGACTGTTGCCAAAACATTTTCTAATGGCTCAAAAGAAAGTATTCATATCTTGGAATTACGACTTAATAATCATTATATGTTTTCATTTTATAGTGCTAACTCCTTTTGTCCTACATTTAGAGTACTTCCTCTATATTATGCCCCAAATGACAACTCACTCTTATTTAATTTAAGTAGGTCATTAGAAATTAAGGTAACTGGTCGATTGTAGCCACCTCTCAGCAGTACATGAAATCCATGTGAGGGGACAATTAGGGTGTGCAAGTGGAGGGTGAATCCCATATGTTTATGTTGGAGTAACAAATATATGTATGCTTTTGCAGAGACATTCGATAGGGTATACGTTCTGCAAAGTTTAAAATTTAAGGAGCAGCAGGCAGAAAAGAAATGGAAAAAAATAGAAAAATAGCAGAATTCCAAAAATAGAGAGCCGTCTTCCAAGAGCTGCCCTTCTTTAAGCCACAGTTACAGGTAAGTACATCTGCTTTAAATACCTTTTCAACTTTATATTGACTATTGAATTCTTCATTTTCACCAGGTGACAGTCCTTTGTTGGACATATTACCACACTTGGTTTTACCGTGCTATGCAGCCTTTTTTAAACCCAATATCACGGCAAAGCGTTGAATGGACACGGTGGACCGGCATGTCTATTACACGTTTTGCCAGGATACTGGGTTGCTTTTTTTCTGCTCCTTACAGTGCTTTATAGTTCTAAAGTGATCTGATATGAAAAGATCCGTTACAAGGCAAAGACTGCTGTCACAGGCTTGATTTTGTAAAGTCTGACACGCTGTCAGGGGTTCAAGAGTATAGTTCCTTGTAAGATCATTTGAATTACAATATGCCAAAATAGGAACATTTGTCAGCACCAACCACTGTTGTACTTCATGTACAATTCCTTCAAAAAGTAATCAGACATCTTAACGTTTTTATTCGTTTTAAAAAGAATAAAATATGCAGTCCACCTGTGATGAACTGATTTGATTGGACATAAAACAATCAAAGGCTCCCAGAAGTCACACTGCATGTGAGAACTAAAACCAAGACATGAGGTCCATGAAGTCTCTGTTGACCTCACAAAGCTGACAATGTTTGGCTGGACAATCAGTTGGTTGACCAGCCAAACTGCAAAGGGTCTTTATCGGGGATGTTCCCAGGAACTGCAGCTAAGTGGTCAAAAGATCTGTGAAGAGATGAGAGAACCAGCCAGTAGGACAACTAACTCAGAAGCAGTGCACAGAGAAGAAGGGAAGAAGTCTTGATTAAAAAGTAAATGAAAGCACTCTTGGAAACTGTCAAATGGCATTTAAAAGACTGAGAATAAAGATGAAATACCCCGTTGCACAATGCTACCATGCAATACCATGGTTCACAGCAGCATCGTGCAATGACAAGCAGACTGCTCTGGGTCAAGGAAAGGATGAAAGCCAAATATCTCAATCAAAACTCTTAAAAAATCTATTTTACGACAAAAAAAAGCTGCTGCCTTTTTTCTAAGTGGGTCTATATTATACACCACCTGACCATGTACATTAAAGAACTCCGTAGTAATCTGTTCCAGATTAATCCCAAATAAAATTGGGCTTCTGATCTAATATTCACCTGTGTATCCCGCATTTCAGATTTATATATTCTTCTGAATACGAAGCAGAGCCAAGCAGTAGCAAAGGTTAAACTCAGGTTATATGAATTGATACATCTATTAAGTGTCTGCATGCAAAGATAAATTATTCTCTCACTCATGATGGTCCAAATTAATTATCACTAAAGGGCAACGTGTGATGAGAATTTCTCGATAAATGGAAATACTTTCCCTCTAGAGGGCAGTTCTTCTGAGTTTATCATTAGTTTCAAACTATTTCTGCCAAGTTTAGTTTTCTTTTTCAGCTCAGCTGGATTTCCACTAAAGCTACAGAAAATAATCCACTGAGTGCCACTGCCAGCTCTATATTACAAAACACAACATGACAGATCTATTTCAGCGAAATTCCTATATCAGTTAACAATAACACAGATGTACTGGGTCTTACTGAGACAGAACAGACAATATACCAAGTCTGCATTAAAGACTACCCTCAGTGAGGTCTCTTGTCTGGCCCCAGGCTTTGATATAAAACTGTCAGATGATGACACTGAGTGCAACCACTGTTCCCTCCTTTACAAACATACCAATTGTGTGTGTGTGTGTGTTTGTGGTATTTCTAATTTGCCATGCTGGAACAGGGAGTGCATGTATGAGAGAGAACATCATCTTTTTTGCAGTGGGCTAACAGGAGCAGCATCCAAAGACTCAAATCAGGTTAGCACTGACACCACAGCAAAGCTCAGTGCGAGCAGTGCTCTGAAGTCAAGTGGATTTCACAAATATGGGAAGCAGCACCTTTGCGTTGACTCAACCAGTGAGGCAAACTTTCATTTGATGCATCTTTGCTTCAGCTAGATGCCTCATTACTGGTAAGCCCCCACCCTGGATAGGTAAAAAAAACAAGAAGAAGAGGGAAAGCTACGCTGTTCACACTCTCTCATCAGCACGGTATACACTCCCCCCCCCCGACAGCACAATCTCCATTGAGAGATGAGCTCTTGTACAGAACATGACCCGCGGTTTCATCTCCTGTGGAAGTGTTTAGGATGTAGGAGGATTCTTGCTGAGCTAACTGGCTTACATTTTCTTTGAACTCATAGCGATGTAGGTGGTTATGTCAGTGTCATCACATCCTGAGCAAAAGCATATGCTGTATATTCTTTGGAGTACTTTTTTTTTTTAAAGGAATACCTTTGGCAGACACTTGTGAAATTTAAAAAGATCTGAGAAGAGAAAGATGTGAGTCTGGTGAACAGTGAAGAACAGCTCCTGGAAATTTTTCAATTATGCAGTGAGGATGGTAGAGAGGTGGATTGAGGTGCTGTACCACCCTCCTTGCTAATGAAAAGATGACTCAGTTGCTTCTCAGAAGGTCAGGCTTAACGCGCGCTTGGTTGGTGTGCTTTGCTCGAGACTTAATCCTATAAACAAATGCGACACGGCCTCCAAAGGCAAACTTTGATGTGCGCTTCAGTAATTAAGTGTGACCTTGTCTCAGGTATCCACCCGCTAGCTAACTATGGAGGAGTTTCTTTGAGCCTGAGCCACTGTTCACATCAGTGCGTAGGCATGACTCTTTATCGACTGATTCTGGCCTTCAGCGATACCGTGCCACAGCCTGACTGTGACTCACGTCAACGGCACCGTGCCAAACAGTACCGAAATCTTCAAATTTCAAGATGGAGCTTTGCCTCACCGGCTGGTTTTGTAAGCCACAGCTTTAAGTGCAAAACAGAAAAAGAAGAAGAAGCTCTCAATTATTTAAAATGCCAAAATTCCCCCAGATAACAGAAAATATGAAATGCATATATTATTTGGGCAATTTGTCATAAGCATTTACTCCTCTGGGAAGAAAATATCACAAACCAACATTCCTGAGCTTGGGGCAAATGTTTCTCACGGACGGAGAGGCAGAATACCAAATGAAGCGCCGCCATGGAGGATCTGAGCTGGGTTTCAAGTCCTTGACATTTAGCCCATTCATCATAACACGCCACAGTCTGGGCATGGGCCTCACCACAGACGGGGAGGGCAGGAGAAGAGAGGGTCTGGCTGGCGATCAATTTGAGCAAATTGGAAATGTCACGGCCTACTCAACCTCAGCGGGGAGCCGGAGGAGCTCTCATCTCCCTGCTGAGTCGCCCTCCAACACCTCTACCCTTATATTCTCTCCACCTCCCTCGCCTCCTCCTCTCCAGATGTTTGGTCTGGCCCACCTGCCTAGACACTTCCACTCTAGCTCTCCCCTGAGGACACCCGGAATGGAGCCTAAATTTCAGAGCATATGCAAGCCATGTTATCAAGTCCAGTGTAATACTTAATGACTAACCTCTCTCAGCATGTTTTGCTTAATTAAAGATATTGTTCTCCATGTTTTAGAATTAGCATTTTACAGGCACGGTGCTCATGTTTACGCTTTGTTAGTATCTGCATTTCCTATTTCTGCCTTTCGTCCTGTTATCTCGGCTACCTGTTGCTAATTTATTTTCATGTAAGTCCATTACAGAAATTCCAATTGTTAGCTCCAAACACAAAATGGAAATAAGTTAATGGGATGGATATGCTCCTTAGTCAAAGGTGGATTTATGGATGTAGATAAAAACTTAAGATTATACAAATAAATTATTTAGTCAGTATGTATAAACTAACCATGAACTAAATCACTCATATAAAGTGTCTCACAATATAATGTAAATAAAAACAGAATGCAATGATTTGCAAATCTAATAAACCCACATCTTTAACAAATCAGATGTTTGAACTGAGAAAATGTGATATTTTAAGAAAAATAATAACTCATTTTGGCAGGTTTTCATTGAAAAAGACATTGCAGCATATGCTACTCTAAAACCAGTGTATATCTTTGGGCATGGTGGCTTTCCAGATGTGCAACTGGCTTTTCCATAGTCCGTAATGCACCCACATACCATCTGAGATAGAGAGTTCTGAACTGATAACAGTCCCTTTACTCTTTAGTCCAGAGCATGCGGTGTCCATGTTCTCCAAAAAGAATTTCAATTTGTCTGACCACAGTATGGCCTTGGTCCATTTAAAAAGAGATTTAAAATTGTGTTTCTGGATCATGTCATCATTCGGCTTCTTCTTAACCTGCATTTGTAGACGGCAAGGTGAGCTGTGCTCACAGAAAATGATTTGTGGAAGTGTTCCTGAGCCCACGCAGAGAGAGCCCAGAGATCAGGGGCATCCAGTGTTGACTTTTAACTGTGTCACTTACACGCAAAATTGCTGAGTGCAAGTGAATCTTTTCTGATATGATGTACTGTGTATGAGATATTTAAAATCTTTGCTATTTTATGTTGAGGAACATTATTCTGAAATTTCTGCAGAAAGAAACTTTCTGCCCCTCTTTACTTCTGAGAAACGATGCCTCTCTTAGATGCACTTTTAAAAACACTTTTACATGTTGCTGATGCGTTGCGTTGTGTTGCTACCTAACCTAACTAGTTGCAAAACGTTGCTCAAGCTGTTTCTTTTCACTTTTCCAGCCTTTTGTTGACCCCGTCCCAACTTTTTTACGATACGTTGCTGCCATCAAATTCCAAATGGGCTATGTTTTTCATGAAACAGTAAAATGTCTCAGTTAAAACATTTTATATATTCTCTGAATGAATAAAATATGGATTTATGAGATCTGCGTTTTTACATTTTACACAGCATTCCAATTAAAATTACCTTTGATATCCATTCGTGAGCTTACAAAAATTGAAAGAAACTATTCACAATGACATTTGTGTCTAACAGTAGTTAAACAAGGAGAGCTCATTGTAGATGTCAGCACTTGAATTTGAGTTCATTTAAGGAGACCCCAAGCTGCCGGGGGGAAATGAGTACTCCCAGTTTGGTTGCGGTTAGCTGCTGGAGATTGCTGGCAGTCGCTGTGAAATCAACTGCTAAAGCCCCAGGCGTGCAGGACTAAAGAGCAGTCAGTGTTGGATTTTGCAGACAAGTCAGTGTCTTCCATGCAAACCGGTAGCTGGTAACCACAGCTGTCTGCTAATGGCTACAAAAATCACAAGTAGATTTTCAGTGCAGTTCTTTGCGACTGATTTTATCCAGGGAATTTTTGTCTTTGTAACCAGTGGTTACTAGTGGTGTGCGATACTGCATATTTTGGTATCGATCCGATTCCCATTAAATACGTGTCAGTATCGCCGATATTGATAGCGATACTTTTTAATAAATAAGGTGGATGCGTCATTGAATTGCTAAATCTTAATTAATTTTCATGACCTTAAGTGTTTTTATTATTAAATAGTTGAAACCCAGGACATAATTAGGACAAAGTTTATAATTAAATAGAAAATGCTTTATTATTGTGGCTGATCTGCGATGCCGCTGCAGGTGATATGGACTCACCTACACCACATCTAAAATCACGCCTCGCTGGCTTAAAACCTGTGCTCTGCTTGTGTTGCTGTTGTTGGTGATGATGTGTACGGCTGGCAGCTGGAGAGCTGCAGTTGTTGAATGTACTGTTACAGCAACGGTGTGATTATTGTAAGAATAAATGATGTTGCGAAGCATGAAAATGCCACCGGGTCTGTCGTGGTGGTTTAGTTATCAAGTTTTTTTTTTTCAAGAAAAATCTTAAATAAAAAGTGCACACAAATCAGTAAATAAGTTAAAACAAGTGCTGCTGAGAAACTATAATACAAAAATTACAATTGAAATTCTAAAGAACTGGTGAAAATATAATATGTAAACAACTTAACAATCCCCAAAGCGTCGAAGTCACGTGACAACGCAAGACTTAAACACAAGGGGGAGCAAAGTGTGCCTGCTCTGCGCTGACACAGGAGCGGCGAGTTGGGCAACCTGGCTGTTTCGTCTTTGCCGAAAGCACAGCATCGCAAACAAGAGCAGAACTTAAAGTAAAGAATCGATCTCACCAGGCTAGTATCGATCCGATACCGATGCCGACTTGGTATCGATACAATCGATATTTGGATTGAGCCGCCCACCACTAGCGGTTACCAGGGGGACCAGTGACTGGTCTCTAGTCCTGTGTCACTGAGGCCTTGATAAAGGGTTGCGTTTTATTACTACTTACAAACTTTACAAAGTCCTGCACTCAGGTCCCTGTCTCAGAGTTTATAACAAAACAGACTTCAAAGGAAACAAAATAGAAGTTGGAGTAAGATATGTGACGCTGAAGAGCCAAGTCAGGTTATTAAAAGGTGAAAAAAGAAGCTGCAGAAGTTGGAGTGTGGAGACCATCAATGTCTTTCTAGGATCCTGAAGTAATTGAAGTCAAATGCTGACTATAAATGTCAAAAAGAGAGGGGAGGTGAGCTGCTGGCCTGTAGCAGTTTCACAGTTTGCTGAATTCCTCTTGAAATTCCTCTCTTGGCATTTTTCACTGTCACTGATTGATTTTTCTTTCTATACTTTATCTATTTTTAAATATCCTTTTTTCTGTACTAAAATATATTTCAGTGAAATACTATTTTTTTAGCTGCCTATCTCTGTGGGTTATTTCCCTCTGGTTTGGTGTCACTAGAATTTCACTTAAATGGCCTGAAACCAAATTGAGAACACATAAATAATGAGTCGAAGACATCAGTTTTAGTTATCTCACATGAAGAACTTGTGTGGTTAAAAAGTATTATATTTGATATTGGATATGAATATTTTTAGAAGCACAAAGTACGCCGACTGTTTCCTCTGAGATACTGTGCCTACAATTCTGTCATGTTTTTGGTACATGTGCAATCATGTGAAAACATGTTTTTTCCACAGGACTCTATGCAGTCTTGTGAAAAACAAGTACACCCTTACTGTTTTCCACAGGAATCAAGGGAGTACAAAGCAGAAAGATGCTGCTAATCAAATGCATTTGATTAAATGAACATTTCGGCAGTTTTCAGGCTTTTAGGTGAGTGTTAACAAAATGTCACAATCTTCCCAGGAGTTGATATCCAAGAGAATCCACCACAAGGTCAGACTGTGCAATGCTCACTCTACAGGCCTCATTTAGCACAATAAACACTACAGTTCATGACAATACAATTAGAAAAAGACTAAACAAGTACGGCTTGTTTGGAAGGGCTGCCAGGACAAAGCATCTTCTTTCCTCAAAATAACATGGCTGCAGGCTATAGATTCACAGATTAGCATCTTCAAAACAACAACAAACAAACAAACAAACAAAAAAGCCCTCAGAAGACTTCTGGAACCAAGTCCATTGAACCAAAGTGGAGATATTTGACCTTACCATCAATGGACTGACCCACGAATCACAATGAATTGAAGCAATGTTATAAAAAGAAAGAGTGGGCTACAATTCTTTCACAACGATGTGAGAGACTGACAACATCATACAGGAAAGATTACTTCAAGTTATTGCTGTTAAAAGTGGTTCTACAAGCTACCGAGTCACAGAGAGCTCTTAGTTTTTCACAGACTGCTCACATGGCTTTGAAAACTCTCATTTTCACATGACTGCAGATCTTGCTGTCATTTAGATTCATTGTTTTTTAATCCTATTCCTTTATCACTTCAGCTCATATGCTAACAGTGCCTGTTTCTCACTGACATGGCTCTGGCTCCTAAACTGGACCATTAAGAATTTTCTGGGCGTATAGACTATTTCCAAATTCTGCCCACCGTGATCTTCTTTCCACAAAAATAAGAATTAAGTCATGCAATGAAAAGCAAAGCTGGTTCTGCATCAACACTAGTACCGGTGCCTTGAAAAAGACACAAGATGACCCACGTCCACTGGTGACCTTTTTCGCCTTATAAAGGTGTGTAGTAGCTGATGATAGGGAGTTAGGTTGGGACAGAGAAACCCTGGAGGGCTTCAACAGTGCATAAACTGCTATTTTTGTGCTAGAGCAAAACTCCTAAATGCACTGAGCGTACAAACAGCACACATTCAAAGCAGGAGTGCTTGTGGTTGGCTGATTGGGTCTCTGGTGAAGATAGTCAGATGTAAGCCACAGAGTGCTCCTTCAGTCGCTCAGCCATCTTCAAATGGGCCATGCAGGGTTGTTATCTACATTGTGAGATGAATGTGAGGGCTAACACCCAGAATCTGTGCGCACACCTTTTGAAGGAGTGTGTTGCAAAAAGGAGACATCTTTTACTTGAAACATCTGACAGCTACACTTAGAATTTTTTGGAAAGAAAGCGCAAAGCTCCACACCAAACACACCACTGGGAGAAACTCTCAGGAAATGACTGCAATTCTGTTGCTTAGAGGAAAAAGTGCTGCTTTCTTTTTTGTTTGGCCGTGACTACTGCGTTTCCTCTCTCACAAACAAGAAGTCCTTCACAAAAAGAAAGAAAAAACTCCAGTGAAACACACATCTGCTGGACACCAAAACCAAGAACCTCATCATAATTAATGCCAGCGGTATGTCCGACAGATGCTTGATGACGTACTCTTTTAGAAATAAAATTTCATGTGGTGTTGCCTTACTGACTGTGCTTAGTTCCACGAGAATAAGAAAGCAACTCCTTTATACAGCAGAGAACTGCCAAAGCAACTTGAAATCCACTCAAAGCTGGTTTTGCTGTTTTATCAAGCAAAAACGGGGAGCAGTGATAGACTTTAAAATTGTTTAAGAAATTAAGCAGTGGTTTTAAATGAAGGCAATCATTCTTACCTATGTGTTTCCCATACATGTGGTAGAAGAAGCCAAAGCAGTAGGCAGGTGGATTGGTGATACCGTAAGGGTTTTTAGGTGCTACGTTGAAAAATGGACTTATAAGCCGTGCTTGGTCTCCTTCCTTGCGCGGTCTTGACGTCTCGATGTACATGTAGAAACCTTGAAATGGATAAAAAACACACATGCGGACACCAGAGTTATGAGAACAAAATAAAAGGGGCTCTACATTTTCATAAACTGTGGTCTGATCTTTCAGTGCCTTCTCATCCTCTCGTGTCAAATACTCCCGTTTTATCAGAAGAGACGGCTGTTCTTCGGATTAGATCTTAAACCAATAGGTGTGGTAATACAAACTGCCAAGAGCTGATGGTCTAATTTAAAAAAGCAGAAAAGACTTATTAGAAGTGTGGCAGTGGCTTAAGTCACAGGTTTCACAGCTGTTGCAGCTTTCTCATAATTTGTTTTTTTTAATTACTTGCTGATTCGTTTTGCCTTTACTCCCTTTCTACCTTTGCTTGCTTAATTTTAGCCATCAAACCTACCCGGCTTCACGAGATTAATGCAGCAGGTTTGAAAAAAACAGGCAAATAAACTTTAAATATGATTGCACGCATACAAAGATCCATATGTAACATACTGGGAGTGAGATCTGTATGAGAGGAACATAATAGAGCATCTAAATCAAAACTATTGACACAGTGTGACTAAACTAATAACACAGTTTTCATGACTTTACTAAACAAACTCATCATTTATTGGCTGAGTGAATGCTGACCCCAGCCCAGCAGCCAGACCCTGAACTTTAACAGGTAACAAGCAGATGAGCAGTCAGGCTGCTTCTTCCATTTTAAGCTGTTTGTATTTAGTTATATATATATATAATTATATCTCTATATATTTCTCTGAATACTTATGTTGGCCCCATCAGCAACTTCACTGTCCCTGACTGTGAAATGTCACAAACATTTCTCTTTGAATCCCTGACAAATTGTTTTATCACTGTAAATATTGCGGTAATGACACCTTCCATAATAAAGATAAGGGCCAGAGCTCACTAGTCGCAAAAAACCTGGCACAGATACAGTGAGGTTACATTTATGGTCCCTTGGTCTGACAGCGGTGGACAGCAGCAGTGATGCCTATAAGTCAGACAGCCCTCTGCGTGCGAGCCAAATTATCTGAAGCCAATCTCAGCCCAGCCACAGGCACAGGCAAGGTAGCTTGTGAGCCGCTCCACAGCCCTCCAGCCAAAATCAAATGGAATATCTCCCTCAGCTGAATCTCATATTAGATAATTATGCACAAAAAAATGAATGGGGCTGCTAATGAAAAGCTGGACATTTTGAAACCATTAGGTGATTAAAGCCAATGCATTATTTACTGCCTCAGCTGCTGCTGCTGGTACCGTAGCACCATAATAGGCACCAACTGTATATTTCACCACAGACAACTTCCATCAAAGGATTCATTAAAAATCCTCTAAAAGACTCTTGCATATCCATTTTTCTTATTTATTCCTTGAATATGCAATACCTGTACATGCAGCTCTCGAGAGCGAATGCTAAACTTACTATGCAGAGTCTAATTTGGGTGCCATGGAAACAGCGACGAGGATCATTTAGAAGATTATCTTGCAAATAAATGATGATCAAGGATCCTCACTGTTAGTTTGTGCAGCATCAAATATTTGGTGACACAATGAGCACAGCTGAAATCATCTTCTTTGAATTGTCCCATCTTATTTCGTCGTTTTGAAAAGTGACACTTGTTTTTGTTTGTTTGCAAATAAACATATGAAATAATCAAAATGCTATGTGACCGATAATGTGATAATCACATTGCTTCACTGTCCCCTGGGGGCATTTGTGGATTCATTCATTGTGGATGGAGCACATAAGAAACAACAGTGTCCATTTAAATGTGTGCATTCAACATGCTAATTTCTAATACAACAAGCAGGTAGACTTTTTTCAGAGGCTCGCTGACAGCTGGCAAGAATGATCACTAAGGCCTAGACCAGCTGTGGTTTTTACTATTACCACAGATTTTTGCAATATCATTGCTCAGCCGTACATATAAATCACAAGATGAGAAATATTATGAAATTACTTGCCCACTGGTTAGTGAATGTTAAGGTTGGTCACGATTTGTGTTATACTCTGCAATATTTTTATCAATGCATAGAGGTTTTTGCTACAGTATCCACTGTAATTGTAGCCTATAACATTTATTCAGAGAAGAGAAACAATGAGGGCTTGGCAAAGACACTCTTATCATACATGATAATGACCCCGATTGCATTACAGCAACGTGGCGATCAATATACATTGTAAGCTCATCTATGATATATCACCACATCTCTATAACTGAAGGTAAAAAATATGCTCCGAATGGACCCAACCCCTCCCAAAAAACAAAACAAAAAACGCATGTATGTATTTACTAGGGTGTTAACTTACCACCATTTTTTCCCTACGATTTTTTTTCTTTTTCAAAGCAACTTAGATCACTTATGTTCACATTGCTCCCTCTTGATATGGAGGAGTAATGACATAATTACTCTGCTAATTGAATTGGTGGGGACAGAGTCACAACGCCTGCATTTTATGTTTTAATAAAACTATCAATATTTCTTTCCACTGCATTGATATTATATCGCAAAAGGAAGCCAATACAATGTACCGCCTCATTGATATTTTGTCTGACCTCTAGGGAGGGCTAACGCACAGGCAGATTGTGCTAAACAACAGGCCATTAAAAACAGCGACGCGCTGTTTTACAGTTTATGTATTTGGGGCCTTTTAAAATGCACCGATTCATCCATTTATTGTGATTATTATCTTTTCCTTGTGTTTTTCAGGAGATAACAAAGACCACTTGGCTTTGGCGATGTGTTTAAAAACTTCCAACCAGCCACTGTGAGTGTAACAACTGGCAATAAGGATTGTGCGCACGTGTGTCGATTTCCGGAGTTCTCCCACTCCCAATGAACCATTTCCAGCAAATGCAATCATGGAAGAGTATTTCTAGACAAAGAATACATAATCACCTAACTGGGATCATTTAGGTTTTGAACCAGACAAAATGGGCAATCTGAAGGACTCGGTGACCTAAGGGACTATGCAATCAGATGAAGGATACCTCTGCTTACATCCTCTGAATGAACAAACAGATGGGGCATAAAACATGCCATGATATGGTCGGGAAACTTAACCACACATACATTTTTGCTCCAATTCTTAAAGATGACTAATAGTTCAACCTTGCTTTTAACTCCAATTGATGGGTCATTTCAACTAAAGACAGCTTCACTGACATTTAATCAATGACATATTTTGTCAAAGAAAAAAAATCATGGAATGTGCGTGATGTGGGACAACTCAACCTGCCAGTTGCAATTACTACACGCCTTGAATATTTCTTTAGAGGTTAATTATTTATCAATTTCTCTCTCAAGGGCAGGCCATCAAATTAGCAAAGTAAGACAATGAGAATCATCTCCTCCATTAATAAAAAAAGAAGTAGACTCAGCCACTAGCTAAAACAAATATGCAATACTTTTACTAGGGATAAGCAATGATTGGCTAGTCGCTGCTTGGACATGTCAAGGGTGGAAGTTTGAGCTCCTTACCTTGCTTGGAGCCACTGTGATCACCACTAGGGCCAGTGTTGGGTGTATACTTGGTGTCGCGGGTGGCTGCACTGTGTCGCGTCCAGTCAAAATCATCATTCTTGTCCTGGGTGAACATGCAGATGGGCTCCTCCTCAAAGCTGCAGTGGAACTCTCCTGGTGAATGACAGAGCACGTCGTTTCAGAAGAGTGAGAAGTTACAGTACACTGCTATGTCTTGAGTAGCGCGACACCTACTGTATATCTATGACATTTCCTGCGGCATGTGTGCGTGTGTGCATGTGTCTCGGGGGGATACATAGACCAACCCGAGTCCTAATTACATCATGCAATCTGGTGAAAAGAATTTCTATATTAAGATGTGACCTCTCACTGACTGTGAGGGAGGTGCCATTGAATGTGTTTTTCTTTTTTTCTTGACTACGACATGCAGTTCTGTTTTCTACTTAACCAGAGTCTATGAAGACAGAGTGCTCCACTGAAGAAACACCCAAAGGCGGTTTGTGTGTGCGACTATCAGACAGCCCACTACCGAAGCATGATGGATGACATTCAATAAACGCAGCCACAGCACAGTAAATAATTTCAAACTTAATACAAATCTCCTGTTAAAACATAATTTTGTGAGGTTTGGCACAGATACAGTAGAAAACTTTTATCTGAATCAGGTGAGCCTCTTGTGATTTTGAACAATCCCCGACATCCCCCCTTTTTAACAGGTTTAAAAGAAAAATGGGGTGATTGTTCTCCAATGTTTCATATCCTCTAACCAGTGAGACTTCTTTAAACCTGACAACCGCCTTTTCTATCAGCTTCCATCTTCTCTGTAGTAGGTGTGCAGGTGAAAATATTAAGTCCCCCCACCCGTGACAACAAGTTCAAAACAAGTGGAATGACTGAATGAGGGTGGAACGACGTTGTTATTGGTCACATGAAAGGGAATGTATAAGTGAATAGACTGTGATGATGAGTGCAAATCCCCATGCACTCAGTTTAATGAAGGGGTAGTGGCTGGATCGACTCTGTCAAAAAGAAGAGAGAAAAAAAAAAACAAACGATGCAAAAAGCACCTGACCAGAGGACTTGGCGGCGCTAAGCGGTGTCCTCAAAGAGATAGCAAAAAACACAGCATTTAGATTCAGGACGCAGGCATGTGCTCTGATAAATATTCATTGATTTATTAAAACGTAGCTGGGAGCAGTTTGGAGTGGTGACCTTGAGAGGAGCGGGATCTGCAGCTTTTACTCAGGTAATGGAGGTAACACAGACGTAGAGGTGTGGTGTGGGTGGATGGGCCGGGGGATGGAAGAGGGCAGTGATGCTGCGAGGCAGAGAGAGAGCGAGAGAATGAGCTGGAGCGAGAGAAGAAGAGGTGGTGGAGAGGGAAAAGTGCAGCAAGGGGCCGCGTTTGAGGCACTCTTGACTCTTCTCCTCATGAGCATGCAGATTTAAATGGAGGTCTAGCTCCTGGTGCTAGACATTAACGTCCCTATCCGCAGCGAGCTAAACTAAATGTTTTCGCCTCGTGCGCCTCAGAGAGATAGGAGGATTTGGAGGATAGGCAGAGGAAGGAGGCAGGGGGGAAGGGGAGGCATGCAGGTAAGATAGTTTCCTGGAGGGATTTGGATAATGATGTTGGTGATTAGGATGTTTGCTATTATGTTGGCAATGTTTCTGTGAACACCCACCAAAATATATATCTATAAAAATAAATAAACCACGATACAAGGCAGCACACTGCCGCACAGCAAGCAATGATTAAGTCTGGATTCTCAAGGCATGAATAATGTGAATTTGTAAAGTTTCAACAATGAAACAATGCGTCATAAATGAAGCTAAACATTAAAGAATATAAACAGCTATGGCACAAATGCATGCATAATTAATGCTCACAGAGCACAGAAGGTGCAAATAAACTCATGCGCCCAGAAACACACACACACACACACACACACAGATACACCAAACGACATCCAACATCTCATGCAAACGCCGTGTCCAAAATGCACAATGTCAAATATCCTGACGCAAGCCTACCCTTTTCTAAAGGCAAGCCTTGCTCAATCATTGCTCATTTACTCCTGTTTTAGAGTCGTTTAAAAACATCTTCCAGTTCAATACTGATTATTTAAGTCGGCTCTCTATAGACGAGACAGTTACTTGGAGTATCCCCACTGTTTTCACAGCCGGTGTTGTGTCAGAAGGAGCACTCTGTCTGATGAGACATGCTAAGTGAGGTGCACATTACTTACTCAGGTGAGGGTTGATGGGAGCTGTGGAAGAGAAAGGCCAGGGATAATCGTTAGTACAAAAAATCTTAGCAGCCTGTCATTACATGAAACACTTATTAAGAGAAAATGTGCATGGAGGCACACGCTGACGTAAAAGAGCTCAACCTGTTGCACCTTCAGACTCTGTGTGGCTGCCTTGTGAGCTCTGCTATTCAGCAAGTAGCAGAGTATTACACAGGCATATATTAACCTTTTGTGAGCAACAAGGAACATATTATGTAAAGATATAGCAGAGAAATAAGAGCTTCAGTAAAAGTGGGACTCGTCTGTCTGTCTGTCTGTGTAGCCTCTGCTTTGCAGTGAGACAGAAACACACAGTGAAAGTGCTTACTAAACATTTCTGACCCATTTGTCATACAGAGCTAGCATGGTCTAACAGCCGTGGCAAGACAGGTTTCTTTCTGGAGTGTGTGACCGCAGAAACAGAGCACTGTTTGCAAAGTATCTGTGCTTCATCTCTGTAAAGCACTTTTGCCTTCTCACTGTAAAAACACGAAGGAAACAGACGGCACCAATCAACTCCCGCACTCAGAACAATGATTATTGAGCAGACACAAAGAGAGATGTCTGGGATTTGAAGTGGAAAAGGTGACAGCATTTATTCGCAGTCTGTTATCTAATGTAAAAGAGTGAGGGATTAGGAAGACCAGCCTGATCACATTAATAAGCTTATAGCGCAACTGCTTATCATTACTGCCATTTACTGGCTTTGCTGATGTTCTTGTCCAAGGTGACTTCCATTTAGAACACTAAGCCTATTTTATCCTTCCATTTAGGAGCCAATAAATCACAAAAATGAGTAATAATCACAAGTGTGTCTGCTAATCAGTTTCCTGCAACTTATATCCTGTCTTTTCAAACCCATCATTATGAAAACTTTGAGATCAAACGCTAACGGAAATACACCGAGGACTTCTTTTGCATTCTGTCCACCTAACCACAGTTCAATGCTTCCCTCATTGATAATTTAAGAGGCTACTGCCGCAGCAAACACATAAAGGTCAAGGGTATCACACAGAGTTGCAGCAAGCCAGTTAGTCGGCACTTCACTTTTTGCAGAGTAAATACCATTTAACCTGTCAAGAAGATTCATGGGCATTTTCATGATCGATTGCTGACCGGCTGAATAGATGCGATACATCAGCTTTACTACAAAACTATGTTGCTGGGTGATTTATGAAACCTTGCTGTTCATGGAGGGAATTGATTTTAATCCAACCAATTAAAGTGAGTAATAACAAATCATTCCTACAAAGGAAAACATGTAGTGAGAGTGGCGAAGTACAGTGGCGCTGATGAAACTGCTGTTTTTAAAAGCTCAAGTTACAAAAAAAAGGAGGGATTTCTGTTTATTGTTGTGTAACTCGTGGAAATGTATGTTTGCTCGGGGATAAAAGGGGAGATAGACAAAGACACATGCCGTGAAGCAACTAAAATTGCATTTTCAGCGCACACCTTCCTTGAAAACGCTTTAAGAATCTTTTATGTGACTGTGAAAATACTCGCCGCCCGACAGTCACTGCTTCCCACTGAATCTACAGTGGACTGCACAGAGCAGCACAGACTGCAGAGGGGGAGGAAATCATCCCGGCTGTTGCAGAGAAAATGTTTTAAATGACAACTTACAGCCTCGAGCCTGCGAAACGGATGCTGAGGTTTCCGACAAAACTCTATTCTTTCAGGCCCCCTCCTGCTCGCCGGCTCTCTCCATCTCAATGTCCCATTTCCTGTAACTCTCACTCCCTCCCTCCCAAATCCCTCTTTCTTCCGATACTGTGGTTATGAAAATGTATTTCGTTGTCTGCATTTTTTTTTTTTACCTGCAGCTTCCCTCGACTGACTCACTACGCCTTAATCCAATCCAAAAGAGTGTGTCTGCTCAAGCAGTGTCTCCATACACACTAAGGAAATCAAGCTGTGCACAGAGAAGGCCCAGAGGCTACTTTTACGACTGTTTTGCATGCAAACACTCTCTCCAGATCACACTTGCATAAAACAGATAATTTTACTTCCAGTATAGATGACTATATTGGATATGGGAAAACAAACAAGCATTAAAATAAACTGCGACAGAGCTCAGCTGTTGACTCGAGCGTTTTAAATGAAGCACTTTTTTTAAAGAAACGTTGCCGCCTTGTCTGTAACTGTGTCTGAACTCCTGAAAACAAGTAGCAGACCTCAATTGCCCTCCTTCAAATGCGCCATGCCGTTAAAGCAGAGATGTGCAAAACCCTCGAGCTCACTGCAAAGGCTTTAAAAAATATCCCAGATTTTCTTCTTAATGCTGCAGCACCCTGCTTTTCCCCCCATAGCTAAAAAGCCTCAAATAATGATTGAGGATGAAATGTAATTTTGATAGTTGTCAAGATAAAAACTCCCAGTGATCACACAGTAGAGTGAAGAGCGGATTTTTCTTTTCTTTTTTTTCTTTCAAACTTCTGTTATTAGAGCACATATTAGGTGCATGTCTGCCTGAATCCTGGTTTATACTTTTCCAGCTGAGAGGACAAAACAAGCTGCATGCTTGATGCATGAATGCCTTCCATCCAAATTGCCTAATTTTGATTGAAACACAAAGTGAGCTCATTGACCGCCAAAGGACATTGGTCCATGGAGGCTGTTCCGGATACAATCACTGACTTCATCTTGGCAGGATTCCCTGCCCACTGGCCTGCGGCTACATTACAAAGCAGCAGACAATTCCAAGGCTCCAGCCAAGTGTCCTCATAGACAACAGTGGCATGCCTGGTTTTATCCTTTCTCTTTTTACTGACCTCATATAATCCACACACTCCCACATTCCCATCAATCATATTTAGGAGTTATGGGTGCGTGCCATGATGTTCTGAGAAGGCCCTGTGTTGGCTCCACAGCTGCCCAACCATCAGCTGGAATAATGACAGTGTGGGTAAATGTAGTTCAGCAATCTTTCCCTCGTGTCTCCGTGACCAAAATAACAAGAGCGACATCACACCATTGTGTCCTTTTTTACAAAAGCCTACTGAGGATGCACTGCTCTGCACAAGTCCTGCAGTAACACACATGGACACACCCGAGCCATGCTGAGCCCCGTGCAAGGCTGTTCTTTCATTAGCGCACATATACATATATACACTGATGGATTGGCATTCACTTTAATTTAAAGAACTGAAGTATAAATGACAGAACAAAGAAGACAAAAGGATAGTTGATTTGATTTGATTTTATTGATTAGCATTCAAATATCTCAGTGAAGACAGAACAAAGATCTACCACAAAGCAAGAAAGCATGAGACAAGGCTAATCAAAAGGTATTGGCTGAAGCCATGTCATGTCACAACATGTTACAGCAGCAATCAAAACAGTTCAAATCATAAATATTCTGGTCCCAACTCTTCTACCAAAAACAAGAGTGGATTTCAAAGGAATGTCAAACGGAGGGACCATCCAGCTGAGCACGGGGAATCCATGAGTCATGCCTTGCACACTTGGTGAGCATAGATTAGCACGAAAAATGGAAACAGCGAGAATCAGCTAGCTCTGTCTGAATCTTTCAGGAGGTAAAGAATCCTAAACACCAGCACCTCTAAAGCTCAATAATTAATATGTCATATATCATTTAATTCTTACCAACTAAAAAAGAAAGAAAAAAAAAGAGTGAAAACCTCTATAGCTCAGAGATCTTTAAGGCTTTTGAGCAGTTGCCAGGCTAAAAAGAAACTCTGGGGAGTCACTGCTACAAGGCTAGCTGTTCAGTCTTTGTTCTAATCCAAGCTCACTGACTGCTGGCTTATATTTAATGAACAGATATGAAAGCTGTATTGATCTTGAATAAATGTATTCCTTTAAGTGAAAGTACTTTATAAAGCAGGACTACTGAGCATGCACAAAATACTGTATCAAAAGAGCAGCTACTATATAGCTATAGCTGTAGCCAAGGACTGCGCTGCAACATGTGCTGTATCTTATTGGTCATGAACATGATTATATGATCAAAAAATGATCAAGGAAGATAGCTTCTGAGGGTTGGTACTATGTGCTGAAAGCTTTGGGTAGCTTAAAAAATATATAGATAAAATATAATCTGAATTCTCAGGTTAAAGCATGCTTCACAGCAACACAAAGAGACAGAACCTGGGACAGCTTTACCACTGAATCACTGCTGGTCAAACAGAAACACCCCACTTACAGTGAGAAACTGAATTTAATATAAGATTTAGGGAGTTTTGCCTTGAGGAGAGGTGTTGTATATGTCACTGCAAGGTGCATAAAAATGGAATATTAAGAAACAGCAGCAGTGTTTTACTGTGACACTGTGAGGGTTGACTGGAGGCTTAAACATTAAATCCTGTGTATTGGAGGAAACAAGAGAGGAAGAGAGACATAGTGGGAGGGGAGCGTTATGAGGAACACCAAACAGATGCTGAGTTTGTCACTGCAGCAAAATTTAAAAGAGCATCTTCAGAGCTTGGTGACATAGCCATTCTTCATCTTGCAACTGGGGACACTGTAACCGCTTTTGTGTTTTCGTGCCAAGTCACAGAAAAGCTGCTACCATCGACTTTATGTGGTTCAGAATGATTGCTCGGCCTTTTGGGCAATGATGGAAAAAACTTCCTCTAATGGAGGACTTATGTTGCAATTTAACACAGGGCAGAAATGTTCAAGCTAACAGCTAACAAACAGACAAAGCCGTGTTTTTTCTGTAGGTTTTCTTCATTTTAGGGTCACAAGGAGGAAGAGACTATCCCACCGTGCAAGGCAAACACATGAAATACATTTATCGGTTGCTGTTCAACTTCCCATTTATGCAAATACTCAAATAAGTGAATAAATGAATGCAATTACCAAAGTGTCTGCTGAGTCTATGCACAAATTTACACTGGAAGAGCCAGGGCTAAAGGTTTATTCAATCCCGCAGCCGCCTTATGGTGAAGCAACCTTGCTTGCCACAAATTAATCCAGTTAAAATTAATAAAAATGCAAAAGTCATTAAATTGATTAATTTGGGTTAGTAAACCTTATTTGTGCTTGGACCCTTTGGGAGTTTCCCAAACAGTCAAATATTGGACATGTCTTTGAATCAGGACAATAGCAAATGCAGGACTGCCATGAAAATGCTACCTTAGATTTATATACCAAAGACAGGACAGGACTTAAACATAATGATTACATAGCGATAAATAGAAGAACTTTTATGACTTATTTTTTCAATTCACTGTAAATTTTCAAACCCATAAAGCCTTTGTGCTACAGCCCATACACAGATGCCCCACAGGTCCATGTTCCCCAGTGAGAATGAAACTGAAGTGATAATGGAGATGGTCCTGGGCTGTATTTCACACATCAGTCTCAGAGCAGAGTGGATACGGTTCAGCCCTACATTAGCCTGCTACCGTGGCGTTATGCTGTGTGTGGGAGAACAGAGCAGCCCTAGAGTGATAATTAGTCCAGCCTCTCGCTGGGCAGGCGATTTGCACGTCAGCATTGGCTCTCCTCTTTCTATCTTTTTTCTCCTTCTTCTTCTTTTATTAATTTGTTCCCCTGTATCTCCCTTTTCTTCCCAGTCCCAACTTGGCTGCCTCCATCACTCCTTCTGCGCTACTCCCTGCCTTAATTAGCCTCAATTCCCCTCACTTCGCTTCGACTGGATTCATTTGGATTCAACTCCACTGAATTCAATTCAAGGTTGACCGGGGGAACCGCGCAGTATCACAAACTACTACAAAAATAACAGCGGAGAAAGTTTATCTGCCTCTCTCATTTCTCTCCTTTTTCCCAATTCTCTTTGCAGAAGCCATGATGAGCTGCAGTGAAACTGAATTATTCACAACTGCAGCAGCACCACTCCGGAAGAACTTGGCAGTCAGTGATAGACAGAAAACAGTCAGTCACTTAGTTTCTGAAGATGTACATCTCAAGTACCTGTGCATCTGTTCACTGGTACTACTGGGCCAACTGTGGATACTACTGTAGTCTTTGTATTGTTTTTGCCAGCATGCCATCCCACAAGCTGGAGAATCTATCTCTGTTTGCAACCTGCTATTTCGTTCTGTAAAGAAATACAGTGTGTTTTGATGTATTCTCAGTGGTCGCAGTACACAAAATCCTTGTGATGTCCTTCTGGCTGCTATTTTTGGCTGCTGTACTTTTATCAGAGAGACTCTTCTGATTCAACCTCAGTTTAACCTCATTTGTTATTATTGCTTTATCTCCTTAAATCCAAGGCTACTGTCTGAGATGCCCACCTGAGAACCGTCGCAAGGCTATAAGGTCAAAATGAACAACCTTGAGCTCTATAGATGAGATATACTTAGGAGAATTTTGAAATACAAAGTCTATTTTGAGTCCTTTTCAGTCTGGAGATAACAACGAGTGACGATTTTGTTTCATCTGAATCAGAAATGTAAATAGAAGATTAAAAAAAACAGCAATAATCAACGGGTCGGCGATCCAGATGTTACTGCTCCTGTTTTAAAAATTCTCGAGTGCAACGCTCATCTACATTTTGATGCATCAGAAATAAATCCTAGATGCATTTTAGTGGTGGCAGTAAAAGGTGGCCATTTCAGTCAGTGTGACATCCTTGGAAACCTTTGAAAAAAACTCTGCCAGTTGGGTTTTTATAACAAATTCAACCTGGACTCAGAACAAGGGGCCCCAGGGAGGACGAGGTCAGTATGACTAGATGTATTTATTTATTTAGTTACAATTTTTCAACCTTTTTCTCTCTCTCTCTCTCCTGTAGCTCTTGCTTTTTTCCCTTGCTGTCCCTCAGGTAACTTCACGCTTTCTCTGGAGCAACGTTAGCACTGTAGCGATCTGCCATTACTGGCTGCACCGATCTGCGCTCTGCTTGTTGTTACAAACTGCCTCCACTTCCTTTGGAACCCGGCACGCTCTGGGCAGACGGCGTCCCTCCCTGCGACTGGTTTTGTTTTGTTGTGTGTTTCCCTGTTGCGTATTAAATCATTACCAGTGCTGCTGAGCTCTTCCAAAAAAGGGTAATTATTGCGGTTTTCTCTATAAAATCTGAGTATTTGTAAAGCATTTTGTGGCTTGTTTTAGAAAATTGCTACATAATTATTATTACTTTTATTACTGTAGTCTATATAAAATAAATCAAATAAAATGATTACTGTTCTATCTGGCCACCGAGTCTGGGCAAATGTACAGTAAGATTTTTATGCTTTTCATGTCAGGGTCCATGTCAGGCATGGTGAGGGCAAGAACCTTTCAAAATATTTACAATGTGAAATTGAAAAGCCATTTATTATATGAGAAACAATCCGGGGGACTAATCAGATCCTCCGACAAAGACAAAAGACAGAAAATTGCATTGTTTTGGGAGGGGGGAACTGAGCGAAGGCAGCAAAGCATGACTCATCTCTGACCAGCTCTGTTTGGTCTTGTTACCCGGGCTACATGCTTGAGTCATCTGAAGCTTCAATGTCATGATGATCTCTCAAGCACAGACACAACAAGTCAGCCTTTGCCCCGGTACAGGGGAGAGCTGACTCAAGCAATGAAGGTCACTAAGAAGGGATTAGTCAGTTGATCAGCATCCATTTGGCTCAAAGGAGAAAAGAAGCAAAGCCGGCTGAATTCGAGCTGTCTACAGATGACTGAATGTGTTACATGCAATTCAAATTACTTCAATCAGTTCCCTTTTTTTTTTTTCCACTCGCTCTTTCCTCGTACGTCTTATGCAAAATAACTCATCATCGGATCTTTGTAATGACTGCTGATGCTACGGCGAACTTTTGATATCATCATTAGTGATGAACGTACGCCGTAAGCACAAACTTCAGCGGGAGTTAAAATCTCTTGTCTCCTTTACCTTGTTTTTATCTGTTTGCTGGCTGTCAAAACACTGAAACAATAGAAAAAGTATGTAGCGCTTACCACTGTAGGTGACGATACGGATGGCGGAGTCCCCCTCGCCGAAACGCGTGATGGGCGTGAGGCGCACCTCGTAAGACTCGGGCTTTATCAGCTCAGTCAGGTTATGCGTCATGAGCTCTCCTTTGTTGATTGTTCCATCCACTGGGATCTCCTGCTCCCACCAGCGCTGGAGCCCCATCTGTGTCGGAAGAAGAACCACATGAGGTTTGGGATATTAGACATTTGCTAGTTCTGTTTATAACTAACAGATTTTCAAATAGCAAAGTGTTCCTGCTGCTGTTGAGGATTGGTATGTTCCCCTTCACCCTTTGTTCTATTTTTCCACCTTTCTGCTCCACATCTGAGCAATCAGCATCAATATGATGCAGTATATGGTATACTTGACAGACTCCTCTTTTGTTGTTACCTCCCACAGCCAAGCAGTTGGACCAGCCTTGGGTTTCTTTTTCCCGTATTTTCCTTGCTTGTATCATTTGTTCTGACTGTTAGCTCATTTTACAGACCTTACCTTTTGCTTTCATGCACCATTTGCTTCATCTAAAGTCCTCCCATGCATGAACGCTAGTCTGTAAATAAAGATCATTTGGGTTCTTGTCTCTGTGAACTGTTCACACTTTTCAAAGAGCTGTTCTCAATACTGTACCAATAACAGATCACAGGGACTCTAAGGTGATCTCATGTGATGCATCTTCACTATCAGCTATATATAGGTTCTGTATGCAGATTAACCAAATAAGGAGAGTATGTGCCATGCAAAGAAAACACATTCTCTCATTTTCCTCCAAGTGTGACCACAACTATGTAGTCCTTTAACACGACTGTATAATGTTCCATTTCATCTGCCAATTAAGACCGCCTATAGGCATCTGTGCGATTCACCAATCTGCACGATCCAAGCTGCACAACAAAAACAAATTTCTTTTGTAAGCTGATGACGGTGAGATGCTCATTAACCATATTTACTTTCGAAGCAGCTCCCAGGGTCAGAACTAAAAGACTGCTATTAAGAAGCAGCAGACACATGTTTCTATTAGCAGAAGAAACATTATCTTAGGTTTTATGGGCATTTTGTAAGTACAGTTGTGTTCTGACTGTCTGCCTGATTCCTTTAAAGAATTTCTATCATGATGTTCTGCAATTTTTTATTTTTTTTTGCCATCTCTTTATAAAGGGACCTTGAATTGCCACGATTTTTCTATCTTCTCTTTCAATAATGTGCAGCAAACAGGCAAACTCCTGGCTGACTTAGTTCAGGTATCACACAAACTTTAATTCTTTTTGTGCTTTCTGATATAATGCAACCCCTCTGAAACACAAACAGCAAAGCTAGATTTGCTGGTGAGGGGCGAGTGAAGGAGGGTACATTTTATCCTCGATTATCAGATTAACAGGGCACAAAGACAAGCGATCGCGTCTGCATCACAATTAGTGACCGTACCATACAGAAAGAAGTGCACCATTAGCGGAGGGAGACAGGGATCGAATGAATGAAGGTGTGACAGCATTGAGTCAGTGTGCATGTGAGGGAACAATACCAATTAAGTAATTACTTAGAGGCTGGATGAGCCGCAATTATGGCGTGCAAGTTTCCATCACCATTAGTTTGCAGGTAAATAGGGTCCGTTGTCTCTCTGCGGTAATTACAGAGAGCGCTCTAGCCCTTACCTATGCTTTGAAAATTTTTAACTTTCCCCTTAAGCACAAAAGGCATGACAGTTAATTGCCATAAATTACACAGTGTCAGCCTGTATGTGTCTCGTCCTATGTGTGTTTCAATCCGCTAAAATAAATGATAATATGGTGAGGATATTTGCTATTGTGATATATCATAATGATGTGAGAAACTGATCAATCAGAAACTGACTACTTAAGTTGCTGCTGCTAAAAGGGTGCTTGCAAGTTATTGAAACCTCGTGTGAATGAGTGTGAAAATGCTCTTTTTCACGTAACTTTATGTAAACCTGTATTATGTACTGCATGCATTATGTTGCTGTAGTAATTTGCACATGCCCACTGGTGATGAAGTACATTACTAAATAGGCTTTTATGTTTGGCACTGAACTGCAGCCAAGTTCTCTATCTATCTATCTAAAGAAACAATTATTTAAAAGTAATTTTTAATGAATTTTTGGAAATAGATCAGATGTTTATTATGTTCAAAAGCTGTGGCTAAAACATGAATATGAGACTTGATGTTCATCCAGTTTGCTCAAAAATTCATACATTTAAATATAAATATTAAAATTTTTATTTTTAATACCCGATTTAACCAGTAAGCACCAAAAATGAAACATTTCATGTACCTTATCTCACTGTTGTTCACAAATGCCCGTGGCATTATGTGCTTATGTTCAGGTGGCTGTATAATACTGAATAAAATTAAATATACACATTTCTGTGTGTGTGTGTGTGTGTGTGTGTGTGTGTGTGTGTGCATGGCTTTTAATATTGGTCTTGGCTAGAGCTGCTTTATAAAGGTCTCCCCCCCCCCCCTTATTAAAAACCAACAGTGCTTAAATATGCAAATCAAATCAAACTCTAAATGCTGACTGGAAAAAAACAGAAAAACATTCAACTTTTCAGACACTTTGACACATGCACATACTTACAGGCTTATGGATTCAGCCCCATTGTTTTGATTCCCATTAATGTTCACTGAATCTACACATTTGCACTCAATTAAGGCTTCTGTTTACATCCCATTAGCTTTCAATCTCCACATTTTCCCCACAGATGTAGAGAGCCGTATTGATTTAATTTCCTTTCACTGTGGCTGCGGTTCAGGAGGGGATTTATAGGAACTTAAAAAAATAGAAAATAAAAATAAAGCTGATCAAAGCGATACTAATAGACTTGAAGACAAACTCCAGAATAACCAACTGCTGACATAACGTTAGACAAGCTGATCTACTGCAGATTACTCGCATGTAGTTAGTATGACTTCTATTGATCTGCTTGCACAATCTGACTTGTCAGATCAATTGAAAAAGAAAAAAAGGAGGAGTAGAGGCAGAAAAGGGAAAAAAGGGAGCCGCAAGATGGCAATATATGAGCTGAAAAAAAAGTTATCTTAGGAATGGAAACAGGCAATCAAGGTTCTGGACAGACTAGAAGGGCTTGAAGCCGCAAGAGTATCAAAACAAGGCAGATATAACACTGGTTCCTTGACAGGTGCAGCGATTTGTGTTTTGTGATTCTGACCGGTGCATGCCTTTCAGCTTTGGAGTCATTTCCATTTCCCTCCCCTTCAGTCGGACCGTCTCTCATGAGGGCACTGGGCGATAAGACGGAGCAGTCCATTACAGAGGCATAAGGTCTACCAGTTCTCAAGTATTAATTCAAAACTGAGAGAAAATGATAATGATTCTCAAGGAATGGCAGGGGAGCTGCTGCTGGTTCTATAAATAGAATGAAGCGGTGTTGTCCGTGTGCCAATGCTTTCTTTACTGCACCATTTTTTCCCTTTTTTCAAAAGGTATCTTTCTTTTTTTTTCCAATTTAGAAAAAGAGCCACTCCTCCTCCTCACTTCTTCTTTTTCATTTCCTCTTTGCATGCTGCCTCTGCCTCTTCTGGATTTCAACTTTTCTTCATCACAAGGCAATAAAAAAAAATGTCATTATTGTCCTAAATCACTAGCAAAGGCAAAGACCATAGATAGTACACTATATGGCAAATGCCACAGGAAAAAGTCAGAATTTTCCCTTCAGTAAAGATTCTCTGACTCTGATTCTCATCTAAGACAAAGGAAGATTGGCCGTTTTACCTCGGAGCAAGCAGATAATGGTCCCCCAGATATCAAAGCAAGAAGGTGGAAAGAAATTAATTCGCCCAAACACAGATCTTCTTCTAAAACAGACTTGGGTGGTGATGCTCTCTCACTTGTTCTTCTTAAATAAAGAAATGCACATTAGATTGAAATGCTAATGTGATTTTAAAATTGCATTTGGTCCATTCTAGCACAGGTGCAGACTTTACAATCGTTACAAATGTGCACAGGACCAGCTGAAAATAGGAAAAGCAAATGTATATTCCTGGCAGGTTTTCAGACTAATCCCTGGCAAGTACACGGGCTCGGCAAGCACGACATAATTTATTACCAAACAGACCAACTGAAATAGTTGACAGAAAAATCACTGCGCTACACAAACATAACAGGTCTGAAATGTGTTCTCAAGCGTCAATTCCTTGAGGGTGTAGAGTGAGACAAACACTAAATTATATTATTCATTACAAACACAACTGTCAGGGTGTGCTCCCTAATTCGGAGCAGAAATTAGACGGATTTCACTCAAGCATGCGCCACATTTCTTCATCTTAAATTTTTTTTAAAAATTGTTTTTAACATGGTTGCAGATGCACCTCCATGCAGCAAAGGCAACGTGAAATTCTGCGGCAAGTTCAACATTTCAAAAATGTGTGGTGCTGCACCTGCTGCTCTAAATTAAAAAAAGAGAAAAAAGCAAGATCAAATGTGCATCGCCATGGAAGTGGGGGACAAGACAGAGAAAGAAGAGCAGAGAGTGGAAGGTGCTCATTGATTGCCAAAACAGAAAATGTAACCACGCCATCCATCAATGCCGCCTGCCTGTCATGTGTGGAGCTTACTTGAGAGGCAGGAAAAAGGAACACAAAAAAAGCAAAAAATAGGAGCTATGCTCGCTACTTCTAGCTGCGGGGACCCCTTTCACTCTTCTGATGGAAAGCAAAAACAGAAACAATTCATGGAAACCACAGACCATGTTGAGCTGACTGCCCCTGACAGGTTCTCAGTGATTCCTGCTCGGCGCACGAAGGCTCATTCACGTCCTGAAAAACTGCACAATAAGACAGATATGAGGTTTGGCTCTGTCAATCGGGTACAACACGCAAGTGCGAGCACGCTGTGCAAAAGCTTCCATTGCGTGTTTAATTTGCCAATAAGAAAGGCTTTTACATGCCTGTCGCGTGGGATGACTCTAATTTATGTATGAAGGGTTGGAAAGAGGCTGACCAATACCCGTGACAAGTTACTGTACCAGATGCCAACATTTCATGACTTTAAGACTCATGTAGTGGCTCTTCTGGCTGTGATAGTAGCTCACAGAGAATAGAAGACTGAACAATAGGAATGCAAATGAGCAGGCACCTCATAGCAGTCTTACCTGTCTGATGCCTAGTCTGTAGGCAACAATACGGTCCACAGCATTTGGGTTCATCTGGGTCCACTGTAGCTTGAAGCCATAGACCCTTGGCCTGTTCTGCCACAGAGGGTTGTAGGTATCATAGTAGAACTCCGGGGGGTAGGCTTTCCCTAGAGAGAGAAATAATTAAAAATAATGACCATATTTATCACAAAACAGACCTAGTCATAACGAGACATCAAACCTTTGGGAATCAAGGGTGCGTTGAATCACGTGTAACTATCACAATAAATACGTTTCCCTAACTTTGTTATCTTAAGTAAGCTGTACTTTGTTTTTCTAAGGAATCAAGTTTGCATTTTTTTTCAATTCTGGGAACTAATTCAATTTTTAAGTGTATAAAATTCTCATTTCTGTGACAACTGTCACCTCCTCGTCTTGTAAACGGACAATTTTTCCAGTCCAGATTTAATAAACAGGTCAAATCAGTCTAAAAAAAACACGAACAATGTGCTAATTTCTAATCAAACAGACGGTTCATTTCAGTAATGACCAGCATTCTACAAAGAGCAGCTCAAATTAGCAGGTCAGAAATGAGCAGACCTGATGAGGGCGTATGAGGAACTGAGCAATGTACTAACAAAACTAGTGCAGTGTAAGGGCAGCTTTTATGCACATGTTTCTGTCTGGAAACAGCAGGGCAATTGAAATCAACAAGAGGCAGCAGAGGAAGAATTAATATGTATTTGATGCTCATTTTTACCCTACTAATTTGAGCTGCTCTTGGTAGATTGCGTCTGTAATTACTGCGATGAGCTGGCTGCTTTGCAGTCTATAAATCTATAAATGAATGCATTGTTAACAGATCACCTACACAACTTTCCACCGCCATCAGAATACCTCTGTTTATTTTTCTTGTTTAGCAAATATGGCCCTTGGACTTCCTTTAAGCCAAAAGTAATTGACGTAGGATAACAAAGGCAGTTATCACAGCGTTGGGAAGGTTACTTTTAAAATGTATTCCACTACAGATTACAGAATACATGCCACAAAATGTATTTTGTAAGTATTCTGTTACATTACTCAATGAGAGTAAAGTATTCTGAATACTTTGGATTACTTAATATATTATCATGCTTTTTACAACTACATGAATGTCCTATTGCTATGTGATTTATTACTTTTACTAAAGGTTATTCGCCATACCAACTAGATTTTTAAATCTTAATATAAATGAGTAACAGTAGGTGGACATTAGGTAAGGCTGCACTTTTTGCAGCGATCTCATATAGAAAACTATTCCGTGCGAATATAAAACAGGTCCGCGGCTCCGAACCATAAAGGCGTAAAACCGTAAAGAGACCTCTGTCTAATCCCATATGGAAAAGAAATAGTAAAAACTTACATGATTTACTCATGAAAGTCGCCACTTTCTCATTACTTTCATATATTGTTTTAGTAAGTATCCAAAACATGCAAGTTTCATTATATAATTTTTCAAGGGATCTTATATCTGTTTTCACTCTTGTATGCTTTTCATACAAGTTTCACACAAGACAGATACAAACTTTATAAGATTTATATATATGTTTTCCATATGGGATACGTCGGGTTCCGTGTCGGGCTCGTAGCCGAAAACTAGCTTTACTTTTGTTGTCTGGGTCAACTTTGTATATATATATATATACATATTTACATTCTTCCATCTCCCGTTTCTGGTTGGTGACATCTCTTACTTTTCGACTCTTTTTCTCCTTCCTTCGCACTCACAGACACGGACTCCACTGCCCATGAGGCTACATTCTTTAGGGCTATGCCTGTAATACTCTGCCTATTGCCTTCATATTAAATCATTTTTGTGAATAATTTTTAAAAAATTTTAAAAATATTTCTTCACGCCGCAAGTAGAGGTGACATGGGCTGGGTTTCCATCGGCGTGGACACCAAAAATATAGAGTTCATAGCCTTATGAAATAGGAAAATACTGCCGTGTAATCCATTCATGTCAACAAAGTAACTGTATTCTGAATACCACCTTTTAAAATGGTAACTGTAATGGAATACAGTTACTTATATTTTGTATTTTAAATACGTAACGGCGGTACATGTATTCCTTTACTCCCCAACACTGTATGTATGTATATATATATATATATATTTTTTTATTTTTTTTACATTACGCCATACTCCTGGTTTGAGTGATTCTCACCTGCCTTTTCTTCTAATAACATAGTTAACTTTGTGAGAATTAATTTTATGCCCACATGTGGCACAAACTAAATGAATCTTTCAACTTTTCAGCTTTCCGGTCACAGTAGGAAAGCTGATTTCTGACAGCTCGAGAAGGAACTGGCAGAACACGGCATTTTAATCAAGATCCAGAAACAAGCTTACAGGATGACCTTCCAGGCAAAGAATAGTAATTCACCTCAATGACACGTTGTTGTGTTTGTCCCTCTGCTTCTTGGGCTTGTTTATTGAGGGATGACAATACCCAAGGCAGATGATTTTTAATAACCATGGAAAAGACAGCAGAGCTGCCATTGTTAGCTCAAACAAAAGCAGCGCTGGGATTTGATGAACCTGTGTGAAGATTTAGCAAGCAGTTTATGAATGTCAGGCAATTGGATAAACCTGTCAAGTTAGTTTATGTCACTGACGAATTATAATAGCATTATTTGCTCCTGAGTCCTTCCCTGTGGCCTCCTTAGTGTGACAGACCCTTGAACCACTTGGTTTCCTTTGATTTTGAAAATGATGATTATACTCCTGGGAGGATACGAAGCAAGAGGAGTTGTGCGTGTGGTGTATGTGGGGGGTCCCTTCATCCAGTAAGATACTGGTATTCAGAGAGAGTCAGTAGAAACTTGACAGCTGATTGCTCTAAATGACACAACACTGAAGCATATTGTTGTACTGGGTGGCATTTTGTTATAATGTTGTGTACACATGCCAGTTCTTCTGTTGCTGTAAAGACATCACCAAATGCTGTTTAAGTGCAGCTTAATAGGCATGTGCTTAATAACAGGGTTTCCTGCTAAACAGCAGGTAACTTGAATTCATCAAATTCCCTTTTATGTAGTTTGGTAGAAAGAAATTTGATCTCAAAGGTTTGCAGAATATTCTAGCACTAACTAAAGTTGCAGTGAGACCAAATAAAAGCCATTGTTCACTCACAGCTGTATAATCCTCAGCATCAGTTCTCATTAGAGCAAAATGGCAAAAAGTAGCTGCGCATACTGGCCTCAAACAAAATCTACTGAATATTCACGTACATTTATGGAACAATTTCATAATTTCTTTGATTGCGCTGCATCAGAGCTGAGGTTTAAACACATTCACTTAGGCTTTAATCACTCAAATCTCAGCCAGAAGTGGGGAAACTGCACATGTAAGACAAAAAAAACAAAAACACAAAACAAGACTTGTGGTTTCATTCATCGTCTGACTGGTTTGATCAATTCTCATAATCGTCCAGTATAAAAAGCCAAAATCAGCACAGCACAAGCAGTGTGTTTGGTTCTTTGGTCTAGATAATAAATCAGGTTAATGGTGCTCTAGGCAGCATACTACAGATGACGTGGCCTTTTTCATGGATAAAGCTATTTAAAATGCAATATTCTGATCGGAAGGAAAACAATGCACATTCATCAGCCTGATAAAATAAAACCATTGTGAGTGAGAAACTAGTACAGACAAGTACAACGAAAGAGAGAAAATTACGCAGTACTTTTTTTCTAGGTTTTACCTGTTTTATGTTGAGCTGTGGAATATGTCTCAAAAGTTCATCAGCAGTCTACTGCAAGGTAAACCTGTCTGTTATAACAGATGACACTATCTCACAAACTGCCTCCGTGTCTCGCTGAGATACTAATGAAACCAGCAAAACATTTCCCAACTAAAATAAATAAATAAATAAAAAAACAAGGATAATTACCGTCTGCACTTTGCTTGGCACTGTTTTGCCGTATATAGCCAGCTGTGTTTACAGCATATTGTACAGCTAATGTTACATAAACCCGCCTGGCAGATAATGTCAGACTTAGTCATGCAGCATATACAGTACAGTAAAGCCGATAAGGAAAAAGAAAAAGGCTGCAATTTGCAGTAGAGAGCAGGCAGGGAATGTTAATTAAACTCACTCACATTGTTGTCTGGATCGGTAAATTAGCTTAAAGATTTCCACACAGACCCTGTTTCAGAAAAAGCCCCAAAACAAAACAAAAAAACAAAACATGAAAAGACTCTTTTCATACTTTTCTTAGAAGTTTGACACGGAAGTCTTTATACTAATGCGCCGCATTCATTAATCTTATTTTGGGGAACATTTTTTTTTCTCAAAGTACATTTCTTACAGACAAATATCACAGACTCGCACGGCAAATTATTGCCTTTTATTCAAATATACAGTGTAATGAAGCAACATGGCCTTTGCTCCTAATAACATGTTATGTGTGGTGAAGCACATTACCTAACCCACTTACACAGCCTGAAACAGATAACCCTGGGTGGGAGACATCAAACATAAAGTACAGAGGGCTTAATTGATTTTTTAAAATCCTGTTTATAACAGCATAACCAATGCAATGATTCATACAGCTCAGTGAAAGCCTTCAGGCAAGAAGTTGACCTTGTTTGCAGACTTCCTTTTTACTTTTTAAGGGTTTATGAACATGTTTTCATCTTTAGGAGTGCAGTCATATGCTAAGCAATTCCTATACGGTTCTGGGCTTTTTTTGCTTTTATTTTTATTTGGCAGGAAGTAGGCTTACATATGGATGCACAGCTGGCCGAGACAAACAAATAACACCAAAGCAGGAACTGCTAACAGAAAAAGGTATTATAGGGCGGCGGTAATCACGTGGTGCCCTTATGGGAACGCAAAATAAATCTCTATGTGTCTTTTTTCCTTAAGGGAAACAGCACAGAACTCGCAATGAGTCACTTCTACATTTACAGTCTTCCTTCCTCCTCGACTAATCAGTTCAGTACAAAAAAGGATAAACGTTTTAATCGTTGCTGATATTAAAAAGCCCAGTGACTTCCGATTTCATCCTTCTTGGTCCGTGTAAACTGAAGGCTGCTCTAGAGTGACTAATGTTGAGATATTGTGCTGATATAAAAGAAGCAGAACTACAAAAATAGGCCAGAAAATACAAAAATAAAGAAA